ACCCGCCTCTACTAAAAATACAAAAATTAGCTGGGCATGGTGGTGGGCACCTGTAATCCCAGCTACTCGGGAGGCTGAGGTAGGAGAATCGCTTGAACTGGTGGTGGGGGCGGTGCAGAGGTTGCAGTGAGCTGAGATGGCGCCACTGCACTCCAGCCTGTGTCATAGAGCAAGACTTCATCTCAAAAAAGAAAAAAAGAAAAAAGGAAAGAAAAAGCCTTGAGAATTGTTCATGTCCAGAGCTAGTTGAGACTAACAGCCAGACACAGAAGGGGAATGAAGAAGTCTGCGTCCCCCACCCTCGGGGGGACTGGCCCATGTATCCTATAACAACCAGGAAGGTTCCTTTCCAGCCTGCTACATTTCCAGGAGAATCTCAAGGGAGGGAGCACTGAGCTATCAGGAATTGTTTTAGTGGCCTGAACTTTGGCCCCACAGGTTCTATCTAACAGAACAAGATTCCCTAGAGGAACCTCAAGCTGTGTTTGTTTGGAACGTGGCCGACATCACTGACGTCCTCCTGGGTGACGAGGGGCGGAGAGGAACTGACCACCCCACCCCACACTGATGTTTTGGGATCAGGTCCCCTGAAGGGCGACACTGAGGCCATCTTTGCCTCTTCTGCTAAAAAATATACCAAACATGGTGGCTCATGCCTGTAACTGAAGCTCTTTGGGAAGCTGAGGCAGGAGGATTGCTTAAGCCCAGGAATTTGAGACCAGCTTGGGCAACATGGCAAGATCCCATTTCTGCCAAAACAAACAAACCAAATAGCGAGGCACAGTAATGTGCACCTGTGGTCCTAGCTACTTGACAGGCTGAGGCAGGAAAATGTTTGGGGCCCGGTGCAGTGGCTCACACCTGTAATCCCGCCACTTTGGGAGGCTGAGGCAGGTGGATCACGAGGCCAGGAGCTCAAGACCAGCCTGGCCAACACGATGAAACCCCGTTTCTGCTAAAAATACAAAAATTAGCAGGGCACTGTGGCAGACACCTGTAATTCCAGCTACTTGGGAGACTGAGGGAGGAGAATTGCTTGAACTAGGGAGGTGGAGCCTGCAGTGAGCCGAGATCATGCCACTGTACTCCAGCCTGGCGACAGAGCAAGACTTGCTTTCCA